ATTTCGTAATTAAAATCTCATTTATAGTCTAGCTAACAAACTTTTTTATCTCAAATAAAAATATTTTATTTAAATAGCTACATAAAATGTAATTTATTATGGAAATATGGGATTATAAAACTCTTGATATATTTAATTTCTACTGTTTGTATCTATGAGAAACATTGCAAATATGAAGGTTATGCCGAACTGACTAATGAACCCTATACTACATATATACTGAACAAACGCCAGTAAAGTGTTCTAAAACCACGGATATTAAATAAAGCATCATTTCTTCTATGGAGACTGGCTTCCTGTCACTGACTATTGAATGGAACACGTGTCAGAAAACGTCAAGATTACTAAGAGCTAATGCTAGCTAATGCTAGTTCATTGGATTCCTTCACTATATAACAACTGACTGTTATAAAATGGGTTGTAGTCTTAACGCTGTACTGTGTTTCAATATATTATGACCAGAATAAGTGGGAAAATGCAAAGAATACATCATTAAAAAGCAAGTTCAGCACCAACAGCCAAGACTTACCGGCGCCATGTTGAGAGACAGGATGAAAAAAGAGGGAACCGGACGTGACGTACGTGACGTAGATAGCGTAGCGAGGAACGCCGGAACGCCCTTACCAAGTATGGTCACCCCAGCACCGTCCAGCACCGTATCTTTCGATACAATTCTAGATAGATTCTCTGCTCTGAGTCACCCCAGTTTCGCTGAAGAAATACACATTTTCACACGCACAGTTGGGGAAAGGGGAAACGCCTCGATTAGCAAGTCATGACGTGCCTGATAGCCTCACATAATCTTTTAACTAACTGTCATTGTTTCGTCATGTCATGTTTAATTTTAATTAACCTCCAACATTGAGTTTCATTTAAATGTCACATAATTGTGTCTTCAAATCAGTTACTGTAGATTTGAGTTTATGCCTGATGTACAGCAACTGTCTGTGCGATAAATTCAGGTCAACGGTTAAAGACATTCAAAACACACCCTGATAATGAACCAGCTGAGCCTGTTAAATCATTCACTACCTGTTTTTAACCCACAATGCCCCGGAACTCTCAGACCAGCCCTTTTCTTTCAGCTGTATTTGTATGGAATTAACAAGCATGCAGAGGGCGAAAAATAACATGCCTACCGATGAGTCAAACAAACCATAACTGGTCTTTCCATCGTGGTGCCACTGCAGGGTATGCCTTTTCTCTGCAGCCATGACTTCCAATGCATACACAACAAAAGATACTCCACAAGAAATATAACCATGAATACCCATAGAGTGCATATCATGGAATTGTTTTTTCTAGTCAGGAGTTTCATTCAAGTTTATAATCTTATTTACTTTGGGTGGCAAACATAGGTTTAATTGCCTTTTTCTAACGAGCTTTTATGGACTTTTTAATGCAAACTCAAACAAGTGTTTGTGCGTAAAGCTCCCATTGATTGTAGGTTATTATATTTGTTAAGATTTCTGCCTTTTTACACAATTGGGGTTTATAAAAGATTAGATAAATTAATTAAAAATAATTCAAATACATTTTAAAAGGCAGGAGTGCTTCAACTTTTTTGGATTATACATCCTCAAATGCAAGAATATTGTGATATGTAAACAATGTAATATACACATGGAAAGCCTTGTGTATTGATTATCATCTTGTCTGGTTGCTTTTCCATTGTTAGTGTGTGCATGTTTATTTTGTACACAATAGAGACTATCTCCATACATTACTATTTCTAAACATAATTTGCCAGAAAAAGAAAGATTACAAAAAAGAAAAAGGTTAAAGATGAATTCAAGCCTTTTTTTGTTCTTAGAAATATTTTATAAATATTGTGAATTGTACCATGATTGTTGCATAGGAACATAATATGACAGTGACAGGACTAAACTTAAAAAGGACATAAGCAACAAAATGTCCAACTTTTATGTATTTAACTATCTTTGCTAGCATTTGAGCACTTAGTCCACCACTTTCTATATTTATTAACAGTTTTACAATTTAAATACTTACAATTACATGAAAGGGATATGAGACAGAAAACCAGACAATAGTTTGCAGTTTTTGTCCATTTGTTTCATCGTTTTATTTTTGCCATCTCGTCAGGTGACAAGGGTCTCGAGTGAACAAAAAGTTTGCAGCTCTACCACCCTGCCCAACCCGATCGAGTCCATCAAAAAGAAACACGCCTCACTGCAAACTGCTTTACACATGACGGAGGCCCACAACGCTACACTCATGCCTCTCAAAACTAAATATAACACTCCATTTGTATTGGGGGTGGCCGGGGCCCCGGTGTACGAGAGGTGTGAGTGCCCCTCCAACTTTTACACAGACAAGAGACTGGCATCACGACGGTAAATCACTGGTTTGTTCCTGTTCTTGGGGAGAAAAAAAACACTTCTCTTTTCTTGGTTTTAAGAGCTTTGACATGCTGAGGTGGACCTCAAGTGCTCATAAGTGCTTGCCATCACCAATCCCAGCGTTTAGGAGAGAAAAGGACTTTGGTTGGGCCCAATCCACACAGGAACCAGAGCTGAGGTCATGCTGGAAAGCAGGATGGCTGCTAAAGGGATGGCCTAAACCCGAATTTAGCATCTACAAGGGGCTACCCTCCCTCCCACTGCTTTAACAACTCAAAACTATCCCCTCTCCTCCCTTCTAAAAGGCTATCTTCAATAATCATACACAAACTGAATCCCGTTGTTATTTAAACATTCAGGAATGTGAGTGGCGAAACAAACACCTTGAAAGCAAAAATAAGCAGGAATGAGCAACTGATCATCATTTTTGAAGTCGTTTTATATAAAGTTACCAAACAAAACCTCAGTGATCAGGCTGACCACGCAGCGAGCTGCAGTGGAACTTCCCAACAGCAATGGAAAGGAGAAAGGAGAAGGGGAGATCAAATAAAATATAAGAGCATTGAGGAGAGAAATCACAACAGAATGATTGAGGTTGTCTGTGAAGGCCGACGCTTTGGTGACAGAACCAATGAGAATGCAAGAGACTGGTTGTAGGTGGTGCTTGTTGCCTGGGCAGCAAAGTCTGTAGTCTATTTGCTGGTCAGGACCTTGGTAGCGACAGCACATTCCTCCCCCATGGCAGAAATGACAGTGACCTGCAGAGAGCACACAACATGTTTAAGTCAATCATCTGAAACTTTACAGACGCAGCTCGATCTTCACACTTTCCACTGGAGTGACAACAATCCTGTCTGCATTAATGTCAACATGATAAGAATAAGAACACATGGCAGACAGATTTCTGCTTCTTCATGAGATGCTATTTATGACAAGCAATGCCGAGAATTTGCCATATCGTCATCAGTTTCAGGTGTCAGGCATCTTCACGACGATAAAATTCAAAATGCATACCACCCAGGACTTGCATCAGAACCAAAGAGTATCTTGTGACCCTCAAGAGTAATTTAACATCTTCGTGCAGAGAGGTCTCACAGGTCATTACAGAGCTGCATTTATTTATTAAGAAGCCACGACAGTGGCATTTGTCCTTTCCTGAAAGGATAAAAACATTTCTTCAGAAAATTTGAATGACCATTTGCATTAATAAAAAATAAAACCCCTTGTTCTTTGTTCCCAGTAGGCTTAGTTCACACCATATATAGTTATATTGAAAAGGTAGCCGGTTTCTAGCCAAAAACTATATCTTACAACATTACATTTAAACACATGACATTATAATTTAACTTTGCCCAATATCAATTTTTACCTAATAGAGTTTGAATGCATCATAATTCTGGCTCTTTTCTCTTTGTATAAATCCTGCTCAGTACTCATGTCCATTGCAGCACTTTTAAAAATAGCTACAGGAATAAATAAAAAGGGTATGACAAGTTGAACTCAAAATGCTGCTTTACTAAAAATTTTTCAATAGAAAACAACCAAACTGATTTTGTTGCAGCAGCTTGCTGTGGTCGCATTCTGCCTTTAAACAATAATCTCATGTGCGACCTGATAAAACATGGTGGCTGTATACAAGGGACCTTTCGCCACAGTGAGTTATTGCAAGAGCTTTGAGACTTACCATGAATTCATCACCAGCTTCAAACTTAGTCTCGATTTCCTTGCCGATTTCGCTCTCAGGGACACGCAGGTCCTCCCTGATATCACCGCTGTCGCTCATCAAGGTCATGAAGCCCTCGTTGATGTTAATCAGCTGGAAAGGAGACGACCAAACCGCAAATTACACAAACTCTGTCCGGTGTTGCACACAAGTCTTATAAATTCAGATGGTAGCGCAAGAGTGATTATTGTCAGGTTTTACAACAAAAGTATTCTTTTTGATTATGCTTATATGAATAATAGTCTTTTTTTTGGAACATCGGTGGCATTTACATAATCCTTTTGTTCATATTGGACGATGGAATTTCCAATGCCAATATTGGAGTTAGGGAAAATGTTCTACCAACAATATTTAAAATTACTTAAACATACATAGTATCAACAAGAAAAAAAATATACCTATATTCATATTCGGCGGCAAAAATGTACTGCCTGAGTACCTGGTAGTCTATCCTCTTGATGGAGGGAACATCCATGTTGTGGGTGGATGGGCACATATCTTCATGCTTCTTGTTGGTGAAGATGTCGATACCAACCATGTTAACCTATGGAAGAAATGGTTTATTACAAAGTGAGGTCAAATATTTAAGAGACCTGTCAGTGTTAGCTTTATAAGACAAAACATGAAGCTTAGGAAAGCACAAAGAAATACAAATGCACCATATGTGGAAAAATTACGCCAAAATTGAATGTCTTTAGTATAGCGCGAAATATAACACGACAAGGACCAGACCCAAAGGAGGTCAGAAGCATTTTCCATTGTTGATTTCAAAACAAAAAGCACCAATAAACAGTGTTAAGTTTTAATCCCCAATTAAGTGATGGCAACTTTGAATATGTACAGCAATTATTTAAATGTTCCATTTAGTGTGAACTCCCAAGTCCCACAGGAGGACAAAGTACATGCAGGGGCACCTTGGTATTTATAAAAAGGAAAAGATAAGGAGACTGCATTACTAAAGCCACACTTCTCACAGCTCGATCAGACTGGTCTGAAATGTGAGAGGCCCGAAGGCCCAAGCCGAGTCTCGGGTCTCTGCCAAACCCTTCTTTGAAACTGCTTGAGTTTTTTATACCAAACTACTGCCATCATTTTTGAGGGGCTACATTACCATACTTTAAGGATCAGTTTACCTTGGCATGTCCGTGCTTGCCGGTCTTGGAGGTGGACATCTCGACAATTTTGCAGGGGCGTCCCTTCAGCACCACATACCCGTTCTTACGCAGAGCAGAGCACTGCATAGGGAAGGTGGCGGAGGCGCCAGACTCGCCAGTCGTGAAGTCAAGATCGGGATCTGACATGGTGATGGGTCAGCGGTGCTGTAAGAGATACGTACAGAAAAATCACCACACTGCCTATCAGAAAATATTCAAACTCAGAAATATAGCAATGACAGGATTTATCCTGGAAGCGTATACCAAATTGGATGTGTAAAGAGTTGAATTGTTTACATGATAGCTGACATAATGAAAGGTTCACTTGTTATAATATATTAAAAATGTGAGTAAAAGCACAAATCCAGACCTGCCTTCTGTAAATGGGAATAATTGTGTCATACATTTTTTTAAGGCATTCTGACTGTTTTTGCACTAAATACTCAAACGAAAAGATGTTCCTCGTTTGAATTCGGGTAAATTATTTTGGGGTAAATACAAATGAATTGCCCTGTTTCTGACTTTACTAGGGTCCCACTGGGCGGGTCGAGCACTGCCATGTAAATAGATATCGCGAGATCTTGGCAAAAGTAGCACTCAATGTTTTACGAAGATTCAATTAAACCCACTCTGAACAAAAAAAGTCCAACAAAATACAGCTACACAAACACTTGGATGACAGCCCGCATCAACACGAGGCCAGGCGGCTTCGCCACTTTAAATACTCACGTTAGCACTTTTGTAAGCAGACAATACAGAACTTCACAACACATCAACATCAGCCTATCAGCTCAATGAGTCACAGTGGTTTTAAATATAACACTGTCTCCCTAAAGGGAATTGGGAGAGTTATTTGAGTAATCTGACATTAACAGACGAGCTGGCGTAAAGCAGGTTAGACGGCCTGGAGTTAACAAGTGCAACAGCGCCTAATAACGTTTAAAAGCCAACTAACAATAACGTCACACGCAAACCATTTGCAAATATTATTGTATAACACAATCTACAAAATTAACAAAGCCTGGTTAGGCAACATTTTTAGCTGTCGAGGTGTATTTTTACCGACTGACTTGCGCTTCTGCTTCACAAATAGCAAATACCGTTTTCCGGCTGTCAGCTAATGGGATGCTAACATGCTAGCTATCCATTCAGCTGCGTCCAAATAAAGCAAAGATTGACGCCCCGTCGGAAGCAGCGGATATGCGGACAGTTGTGTTTTAGTTCCCGACATTTTATTGAAACATAAGGTGATAAATAGCCATCTGATTCTGATTTTCCCTACTAGGAAAAAGGTAGACATTAGCGTGGAGAATGACAAGCGTCTTCTACGAAGAGCGCAGTCGAAGGCCTCATGTCCCTTTGATTCAATCTGTTAACGTTAGCTGGAGCACGGACACCCACACCCCGGACTGCGACCGACAATCTACCGGGACATCAAATAACTACATCGCCAGCTTCTCAAACAATTACATTGGTACTTCAGCGTCTCCGAACCCGTTATTCCTTCAATTAAAAAACCGTTATGCCCCCCGTGTATCCCCCCAAAGGCAGAAACACGCGCCATGCCACACTTACCTTCCAAGAAAAAGAGGACCGAAAGTGCGCAAGCGCGGCCAACTTTACTGCAGCAGCAGCACCCGTACCGTAGAAGGCGAGGGAGAGGGGTGTATGCTTTCCGGTGGCAGCCTGGCAGAAAGGGATGCCAGGTCGAAGGAAATCCAACCTGGCAACCTACATACAGTACGGGGCATCATCTACTGTTTTTTATTTTTCAAGGGTGCAAAAGGCGTGTCTTACAAAACTAATGACAGAACCTTTTCAGTCATGGCCTTTTTTTGTAGGGATGCACAATTCATCAAAACGTAATACAAATCGTATGGGTTTTTGCAATAATAACATTGTTGTTATTATTTGTTACAGCCAAAAATATGTGCTAGAACTATTCTGATATAAGTATTGTGGTGCTGCATCGATGTCTCAGCCTACACGTTATTCTAAATATTTAATAATCTGTGTTTGGAACAGATCACACCATAATGACTAATATAAAGCATTTTTCAATCATAATATTGATTGTGAATCATATTGGAATTGCAAACAGGTGTATAACAACAGGTGTATTATCAAAGCACTGTGAGCGTAAGTGTAGCCCCACAGAACTGCAAGTACAGCTTTAACTCAAGCTACTTTATTAATATCTAATTAAGTATTTCGGTTGATGAACTCGGTTCGGCACTGAGGTCAAGCACAAATCTTTGAGCAGATTTATTTTCTTCGGCCTATGCATCAGTCCTAAGTAATTAATAGTGCACACTTAACACTTTGTTAAATGTAGATTGTATGGTATTGAAAGAATCCAAAGTCCTTTAAGAGGTGAATCATCACATTGGGTAAAATATAACGTTAATGTTTTTTGGAGGATTTGGTTATGAAATTCAAAAAAAGGACCTGCAAACACAATTTTGCCAGGGCCCTTTGTTCAACTTCATGCTAGTAGCACATGTCTTTCTCAACAAATGTGTCGTATAAATGAATTGAAAAAGAAAGAGAGTGGAGCAGGTGTTGTTGCTGTACAAGGAGAGGACATTTATTGTAGATTTTTCAACATCACAGATGTGTGTTACCAGACTGAGGTCGTCTTTTTGACTGATTCCAGTGATTCAGACAAGGTGAAAACGTACACTCACATGCTCATCTACACATACACACACGCACACACACACTCACAGGCTGACAGCCGTACATACGTTCAGTCCTGATACGTACAAAAATTGAAATACAAATACAATTAATACCACAATAAAAACATTGTATTTTTTTCTTTTTAGAAATTCTTATAGCTATGGTTTTCTATTCTGTAGAAAGACAACTAAGCTTTTCATTAGTGAACATATTATTTTTTTGTCTTCCTCTAAAATGATCAGTAAGATATCATCATTAACAAAAATTCTTACAGTATATATATCTTTTTATCTATGGTCTCTCACACGGACCCTGACCTTTATTCACAGGCTGATTAATGCTAACATCCTGCCATGGAAAACTTGTAACATCCTTTAGAGATCAATGAACAATCAAAAGAAATATCAGTAAAAGAGGGAACATCTGTCCTTCCACTCTCTCTTCTCTAGCAGCCTGATCACAATCCCACAAACATCAGCGTTTACAGAGACAATCATCAAAGGGTAAAAAAGTAGAAAATGTCCTCAAAAGTGATGCTGGAGCCCGCCCTGCTCGCTCTGTATAAGCTGCTCTAAGTGTGAGCATCAACAAAAAATATAAATTTGATGGTAAATGTATAATAATCCAGTCTGCGAATCTTGATTTATCTGACTGTTTCCTCATGAGATAAAAGCACAGAGACAAAGCTAAGTTTCAAAACGTTGAATGTACAGCTCAGTGTAGAAAGGTTTGGTCTCTCAGCGTCCCAGCTTTGACAGTCTGTGTATTGCCTTAAAACTTACAATTTATAATACGACAGGTAAAATTGTTTGTCACCATGCAAAATGCACCAACTTAATAAACAGGTATGAACTACGCAGAAGAAAGAGTCAACTTGAGGTGTCAACCCAAACAAATCTTTGTTGTGTAATCCAGTCCTTGATGGGACAGATTTGACAGAGGTATGAAATAAAAGCGAAACTTTCTTGTTTTCTTTCTTGTGTATTCTCACCTGCTTTTGCAAAAAACTGTCCTTAACATCAAAAGTGAGTATTTATACACAGTGGTACACAGAACAGCAGGGGACATAACACAAAGGTGGAACTTCCAGAAGTTGGCAACTACTCTACGCCAAGTCCCTTTTGTGAGAAATTATGTGAAGTTATTGTGTTGCTGTTGCAGCAATAATACAATAGTCTACAACCTTCCTTCCCCTGCCAGATATACACCAGGACAAAGAAGCCGTGCATCCTCAACAACAAGTATAAAATCCCCCATTTTCCACTGCATTTTCTGTAATTATTTTTCTTCTAAAGGGGGAAGAGACAGAAGGTGTTTCAGCAGCAGCACTCAAAAGTGAGTGTTCACACTGTGAGCAACACCATCATAAAGTCCTTTCATTTCCTACAGACAGAGGAGCAATGATCAGGGGAAAAACATAGCTCCACTTTTCCCGGTTTTATGGATTGTGATGTGCTTTAATCATAAAACATCTGACAGCGCTAAGAGAAACACCCTTTGAGGTTTTGCTACAAGATGTGAGTCTAGAAAACATCCATGAAGATCAGTCATCACTTTTCATCATATACTATAAAATCTGAATTCATATTTGGTCTTATGATGATAAAAAGGCTGATTCAGCGTACATCCACACTTAGACGGAAAAAGCTGGAAAATAATGAGTGTTTACATCAGGTTTTTAGGTTGTTGTAAAGATTATTTGTCATATAACACAAATTAGGGAAAGGCAAATGTTTTTTAAAGGTTAGATGAGTCTAATGAAGTCTTCTATATCTGCCAAATACCTGATTCCTATCTGTCAGATAAATGATGAATGATAGCACTCAATATTCAGGGGAGACAAAATATGTTTTTATTTGTCCGTCAATATTTTAGATATACAAGAGACAGTTATTTTTAATATCGGTTTATCAATCGTGAGTAATATCTTTTGTGATATATTCAACAAGTTTATTGTATTTTTTAAATATTTGGTGCAGCCCTAATGGCAGATTGAGGTTGTCTTCCAACGACTCATTCTTGCTTGTCCACAGCTCAACATTTGGTGAGAGTTTATGGATTTTTACACATTTATTTTGGAGATAAAAACACAATTTAGTTTGGACAACCTTAGCCAGCCTAGTGCGGATGTACTGCAAAGTGATTTTGGTGACTTTTAAACCAGCTGCATTTGCTATTTTGGTCATTTTGAAAGTTTTCTTCTTCTGTTTACCTTAGAAAGTAGGATTTTTTTCTTACTATGACCCAGCCCTGTAAAAGCTGTATGATTGAATTCAGCCCACCTGCATCTTCACCAACAAGCAGGAAATCATGCTCGCAGTGTGAACACCCTGTCAGGAATCATTAATGTGCTACACAGAGATTTTCTCCAGGAAGTCAAAGGCTACTCGGCGTGATGTCATCGTCCTTTAAAGTCTGGAATAAAAACCCTCAGGAAACGTCCACAGCGAAGGCCGCTGTCAGTGTGTGGAGTGACCTGCAGCGCCACCTAGAGGTTGGATGCTGTTTTTACTGCGAGTTTACTCCAGTTGCAATTTCGTCCCTTCAGCAGCTCGTTGATTTCCTCCAGACACACATTGTACACACACACACACACACACACATACACACAAACACACACACTGTCCTCCTGATGTCGGCCAATGTTCAGAGTGAAGAAGAGGAGGCTCGTGTTGTTGAAGGTTACCAGTTCATCATGGAGCTTCTGTTGAGGGTCATGAAGAAGACTTGGCTGCTTCCTCCAGAGCGCACCGAGGCGAAGAAAACCTGCAGGGAGGAGAGGTAATAATACAGTAGATATGATGCAGCTTATTTACTTAAATATTGATTGGAAAAATAAACAACAAAACAAAAAAACATTTCTTTATGGCTGTTGACAGTGTTCCTCTGATGTATGGAGTTATACAAAGAGATTTCCAAAGTTCCTTTTGTAAAAGTCTTGAAAAATGAATCAGAACATTTTAGCAAATTAGCACCTTTATAATAACATAAGGGTAATTTTAGATTTCTTGTTTTGTTCTGTTTCTATATCATATTAAACAAATACACCTTTGGGTTTTGGATCACCTATTTATAATTATTTTCTGAAATTCTTATAGACCATTAACTGATGAATCAAGAAAAGGTTATTGACAAAATAATTGAAAACGGAAATAATCTTGCAGTTTCAGTCCTACTTGAAAGAAAAACAGAAAAACATTACCCGTCTTAACCACAGGACGGCTCAAAAAGCACTTTAAGCACATTTTAAAGTACATCCGTTAAATGGTTCTACTTTTTTAACCCAGACACAGAATCTCAGTACGATACGATCAAATATATCATATATATAAGGTTGAGCCTGTTTTCTCTGGTAGTTGTAAATGTTTTTCGGGTCGTGCAGGTGTTTTTAGGACTCACCTTGTCGTTCCTCTCCGATAGGAACTTCAGTCGCTGAGCTCGCTTGTGCATGAAAACTCCATCGAGGTGTCCCGTCTCCACGGAGCGGATCTCAATGGCCTTCTCTCCCCAGCCCATGATCTGGTTGGAGTGGATGTAGGCTGCAAGGACACACACACGCATACACACACACACGCGCACACACAAACACAAACACACAGAGGGGGATTGGACAGGAGAAGACTCAGCACCAGTCTCACATCCAAGCCAGTCACACATCCTCCGCCTCACCTCTGGGAGGAGATTATTGCAGCAGTTTCTGACCGATTTAAAACGATAGCAAGCTCTGATGTTGATATATATGAGTTATTGGAGCACCATTGACTGATGTAGGATGTCTGAGATTTGCAGCATTAGTGACAAATTCAGCTTTTTTTACAACTGCTCTACTATAAAACATTACAGTGGGAAGGTTTCGAGCCAATGAGATTAGAAACTCGGTGGAGGTGAAATGCTAATAATCTGGTCGAACAATTTAAGTGTGCGCTACAAAGTGATGGAAAAGCATCAGCAGAGAAGGTCCAGCTGGCAATGATGAGCACCTTCCTCTGTCACAGAGATAACATCCAGTGGAAGGTTTTTTTCCCCTCTTGCAATAAAGTTTTTTGCCGTTGTCGAGTGAAAACGTTACGACGATGCGGTATTTATGATTGTCCTTGAAGGGAGGAGGGGGCTGAGGCCGGACTTGGCTGTGAGAAACTCTGGTTTAACATTAAATACACACAAACATGTTAACAAGAGATGATGTCCACATACAGAGCCAACAGTCAAATATCATCATCATTCAGGATATTGTACACTGAGAAAGGCTGAATGGGAAAACACTGAAGATTTGACTCCGATCATAAAATCCAAGATCCATCCCTGATGTGCTTGAGTTTCCTCTCCATGTGTTTTGACTGAGTGTGACTGAGTGTGTACAAATAATAGATGTATTGGTTCTGCTGAATTACAGAAATATTTTGTTTTTGGAGCTGATGCAATCAGGGATGAATGTAAGATTTTTTGGAAATATTTAATACAGAACAAGAGAACAGACCAACAACACACAATCATTTCTCCCCACATTAGAAAAACACGTATTTAAAAAAGTAGTGTTTAAAGGAAAAGTGTGTGTGCTCATGCAGTCAATGGACTTCCAACACTCGACATTAAAGAGATACAATCAGTTTTTGGGTTGTTATTTTTTGGTAAACTCACCTGTAAAGCAATGAAAACATTGACACCAGACCTCTGGTTTGATTTGTTTTATTATCCTGATGTGACACATAACTATTTTTTTCTATTTGATATTGCATGAATTTATAAATGTCATGATACTAATGACATTTATTTATTCTTCTTCACTTATTTCACCCCTTTTTTGTGTATTTCTATCCACCTATGGTTAAGCTTTTTTGCCAATTTTGTATGCTAATGGTTGTAATATATTTAGTTGTATTTTTACAATTTATGTGAGCTTAACTTTGTTTTGTTGCGAGAGGGTCAGCTTGACCTCTCCATTTAATTGCTTAAATATCTGGATTATATGCAGTCTCATGTTAGTGCAACAACAACAAAAAAACCACATATTTTAATGTCTGAATTTTAAAATACTAAAGTACTGATATTTGTATGTGCTTCATGTATCAACTGATATTTGTATGTGCTTCATGTATCAACTGATATTTGTATGTGCTTCATGTGTCAGCTACTGATATTTGTATGTGCTTCATGTATCAACTGATATTTGTATGTGCTTCATGTGTCAGCTACTGATATTTGTATGTGCTTCATGTATCAACTGATATTTGTATGTGCTTCATGTGTCAGCTACTGATATTTGTATGTGCTTCATGTATCAGCTACTGATATTCTGTGAAAATGTTATTATGAAGCAACAGAACCATCAGTTTCACATGGATGATTTGAGCTCCTACTGTTTGTTCTCATCATGTAAACAAATAAAGTTATTAAACCTTCCAAAAGCCTGTTGTATCCCTTTGATATGAAACAGGTGATACTACAATCTTCTTGTTTTAGCGGAATGCAGAAGGCAGGAGGAGAGAGAGGAGTGTTGCTTTGAACGGAGGAGGAAGAGGAGATAGTAGAAGTGAGGGTGAAAGGATGATCCGATCATAGAGGTCAGAGGTCAGTGGGGTTGAGGGAGAAACGAGCTGATTGGTTGACGTACCGACGGATGTGGGCATCTCGCCCCACTGCAGCACCACGTCTTTGGTGATGCGTCCGTAGGTGTTGACGTAGACGCCCTCGTCCTCGTAGCACAGCAGCATCTCCATGCCGTCCGTCTTGGGCAGCACCACGATGGCGTGTGGGGTCACCTGACCCTGAATCTGCGAGGAGGGGGGGGGGGTGAGGAGTTGGGGGGGGGGGGGGGGGGGGGTGAGGGGGGGGGGGGGGGGGGGGGGGGCAGGGGATTAGGATCCGCTGTGATCACTAACCCCCCCACTGTCCCCTCCCTGAGTGAGGAGAAACTGCTGCAACAATATAGGCTCCCGCTCCATATGCAGCCACGCAATCGCCATGGAAACAGACATGAGCGTGATTCATGTAAGGCGGTCGCCGTGGTTACGGTCTACTTCTCCCTTATCCCCCCCTCCCCCCATCCGTATCTTACTGTAACCAGACCGAGGTTAGAGGAGGACACCAACTATCCCACAACATCACTCATTCATTGAGTCATTAAAGCAGGTCATTCAATCACTCACTAAGTCAGCTGTCCATTCATTCAATCCCTCATTTATCCATTCACTACTTTATTTATTCACATATTCATTCACTCACTCACCAAGTCAGCTGTCCATTAATTCAATCTCTCTCCTGTCCATTATTATTTTGTTTATTCACTTATTGATTAATTCACTCACTCATTTAGTAAGTTGTCCATTCACTCTTTTATCATCATCACTAATTATTTATTCACCCACTAATTAATTAATTCACTCATTATGGCAGCAATCCCTGTATCCAATCAATCCTTATTCTATCCATTAATTCATCTATTGACTCACTCATTCATTCAATCATGAAGGCAGCCATCCTTTCATTCACTCTTTTATCCGTTCACTTAACCAGAAAGGAACCACTCATTTAAACATTCAATCAAATGCAATTAAATACAATTAATGTCTAGATATGTAGATATACACACACACACACACACACACACACACACACACACACACACACACACACACACACACACACACACAGACACTAACATGTGAGGGGATGTAGATGTCGTAGGGGCTTCCAGAGTCCACATCAATGACGTGGAAGCCGACACTGGAGCCATAGATGACCTTTAACCTCTGACCCTCCTCCACCGTCAGGTCCACCAGCTGAGGGCGGTGCTGCAGCTCAGTGAACGACTGCAGAGGAAAACATTTATTAAACACAATAAACATAGAGAAAACAAATATAAGTTAATTTGAAAAGGTTTAAAAAGTAAACCACCAGTTGCCCAACATTGACATTGTATTCAAACATACAGGGTCAACTTTAGTCTTGTTAGAGGTATTTTACCACTTGTATCCAACTGTTTAACACCACATCTAACCTTGAAGGCCATAAACTTGTGGTAAGGTTTAGGCGCCCAGGCGTAGATCTCCACTGCGTTCTTCAGAGCAATCACCAAAAACTTAATCCTCTCATATTTCACTGCAGAAAGAATGAAAGCATTAAAACAGTCAGATATGCAGGACCATATATACACAAATCATTAAAAAATATGCTTGAGTTGCAATTATCCCATCCATACACAACTGTCCTCACAATATACATAAAGGTGTGTTTTCTTACCGACTTTGTAGTGCACGCAGCCCTCCAGCTCCCCGACAGTGATCCAGCCTTGTTTCTTTTCCACTTCAGGGTCATTGTGTAATATCCTGTTCCTTAGCCAGGACAGGTAGTAAACTCGCAGCTTGTTCTTCTTCCCTGGTATGGAAAGGAAATCAGTTCAGAGAATTAATATTCAGGTTTGTATATTTCAGTTAAAAGTACTGCACTTCAGTATTTCTACTCTACATTGCCGTGTTTTTTAGTGTTATGTATTTGTTTGTATTTTTTGCACACCGGGACAGAGTTGCACTCTGAATCTCGTTATACTCTGTGTATAATGACAATAAAAGGCTTTAACTTAACTTTAACATGTCACAGGTTAATATCGTACTTTTTACTTCACTACGAATGCAGCTTTGGATAATTTCTCGATTCAAGGTTTTTACTCCCCATGAATCTCTAGATGAATTTCAATGTAATAATAATAACCCAGAAGCATCATATATGATATTAATTTCCCACCTGAGATGGTGACAAGGACGTTGAGTCCCTCCAGGACGTCCATCTGTTGAAAGCGCCGTCGATTAATCAGATTATAAACTTTCCCTTGACCGCTTCGATCCAGCAACATCAGGCCATTCTCCGTCCCCACCAGCAGATTCACTCCTGCACAAAAAAAAGTCACGTTTTTTATGTCTGTATTAAATGCATTGAATGTACAAACAAACAAACATACAAATGAATACATAAATAAATAGGATTCCTCTGTCTCACCCCAAAGAGCTGCACAGAGGATCTCAGAGTTGAAGCGTTTCTTGTATTTGCGGATCTCGGGCGTGTCGCTGTGCGGCCGGATGTTGGTCGGGTTAACATTGACTACGGAGATCTTTCGGGCCTCATTGAGCCGCGCCTGCTCCTGCTCCTGCTTCATAAGCTCGTCAGAAAAAAGCGCTGCAACACAACAAAACATTACATTATCATTTTGAGAGATTAAAGCAATAAATTGTGAAGCAGACTGTAGGTTTTCTTCCGGTAAATATCCCGGTAAAATACCTGTTATATCATCTTGATTTTCACCAACTACCACTGTGATTAATACATACATGAGGCAGAAGTGTTATCGTCGTCGTCAGTCGGTGAGGTCCCGTAAACCCTCGGATCTACGAACGGAGTGAAGGAAGACTTGGATCCTCCGCTGCTCCCCATCCCGTACTGCACATTACACAAATAAAGAATCAAGTAAATGACATGTTTGTCAGATGGTTTGTTAGTTTTGTGGAAAGCTAATGAAGCAGGTAGCTGTTGAAATGAAAGAGTTGGTTCAGCGAAAGATTTAACTTTCTCTTTTCTTTCTCTCATTTGTCACGATAATGAAAACCCTTTATGGCCTCATCCTTCGTAATAGAGTGGTGCAGGAATGAGTCCTAAACCTGAAAGTGACTTAGCATTTTATGTTCCTGGTAAAAGGTTGTGATTAATACAAGCTAAAGAGATTTTAACTGTTTGTTCTACGACGCAAAATACACTGAACAAAAATATAAACGCAACACTTTTGTTTTTGCTCCCATTTTTCATGAGATGAACTCAAAGATCTAAAACATTTTCTATATACACAAAATAACCATTTCTCTCAAATATTGTTCACAAATCTGAAAGAATCTGTGATAGTGAGCACTTCTCCTTTGCCGAGATAATCCATCCCACCTCACAGGTGTGGTATATCAAGATGCTGATTAGACAGCATGATTATTGCACAGGTGTGCCTTAGGCTGGCCACAATAAAAGGCCACTCTAAAATGTGCAGTTTTGCTTTATTGGGGGGGTCCGAAAACCAGTCAGTATCTAGTGTGAGGGGTAGGGTTAGGGTTAGGGTAATGTTGTGAATCGAGTGGCCCATGGTGGTGGTGGGGTTATGGTATGGGCAGGCGTATGTTATGGACGACGAACACAGGCCACTCGATTCACAACATTACCCTAACCCTAACCCTACTCCTACTCCTCACACCAGATACTGACTGGTTTTCGGACCCCCCCAGACCCCCCCCAATAAAGCAAAAATGCACGTTTCAGAGTGGCCTTTTATTGTGGCCAGCCTAAGGCACACCTGTGCAATAATCATGCTGTCTAATCAGCATCTTGATATGCCACACCTGTGAGGTGGGATGGATTATCTCGGCAAAGGAGAAGTGCTCACTATCACAGATTTTTTCAGATTTGTGAACAATATTTGAGAGAAATGGTTATTTTGTGTATATAGAAAATGTTTTAGATCTTTGAGTTCATCTCATGAAAAATGGGAGCAAAAACAAAAGTGTTGCATTTATATTTTTGTTCAGTGTACATCAGTAAATACCCCACTGGGGAATTTTAAAAAAGAGCGAAGTGTCTAAATGAGATGACTAAACGTCATCACGCCGAACATTAGCCGCCTTTAGCTTAGCGGTGGTGACGTGAAGTCATGAGACCATGCTGTAGTTCATTTATAGCATAACGTTAACTATTAACTTAAAAAATAGCAAGGTGTTATGTGGAGATTATCCTGCTGAACAGAATGTGTAATAACATAAACGTTTCTCTGCCACGGAGCTTATTGTTACTTCAGCGTTTGCATACAGAAATACCACATTCCTGCACCACTTTATTCAAATGTCACTTATATTTAAGTGTTCAAGTTTTAGTGTAAGATACATGCATCATGTACTCAGGGTGGAGGACGTTTTCTGAATCTGGAAAACTGAGAGAGGGAGGAAGAAAGTGGGATAAAAACGAGCAGAGCAAACACGAGCAGGGGAGGAAATAAATCATTTTTTTCCCAATCACTGGAGCCAGCGATTGAAATAGAGCAGGGCAGGAAATTAAAGGTGCCACATCATTTTTAATCATCATGCAAAGAGCCTCGGTTCCGAAAAGTCTTGTTGCTCTAAGATACAAAAAGAAGCTGCAATATTACTGTGGTGAAATATATTGATTGAAGAAATTAACATGTATACCTTATTCATTGTTTTAGTAGTAAAACTGCACATATTTTGGGTTATGCTTTTTAATGAAAAGACATCATTTAAAATTGATTTTATGAAGTGATTTGGGTTGTATGACATGTGCATTAAAAAGCCAAAAATCAAGAGTTATGTTTCTTGGCGTTTGATTGGTGGCAACGGCTAATTTCCCCCTGATAAGGAGCAGGTGGAGGTGTGACAGGGTGAACAGGTGGCAGGGTGCTGGTCTCAGGTGTGGGTGGGGGTCAGGGTTATCTGGGCCGAAAGTGGGGTGCAGCTACACCTACTTGGGCCCCGGGTGCGTCTCCAGGGGAGACAAGGGGAGAGTGGCTTTGCTGCACCAAATCGGGAAGATTGGCGTTGCCGGAGAAACCATTGCTGGCGGCGGAGCTCCGCCTCCGTCTGCCGTGTTTCTGCAGAGAGAGATGGGTGCAGCCAGGCTTTGATTGACAGCTCAGGTGAAGGAGGGGCGGAAACCTGCTGTGTGCGGCTGTGTTTGGTTTTTAGAGAAGGGGGCGGGTGGGCACTGAATCCAGAAGAAAGAGCCCCTTTGTATATTTAACAAACAGAAACCAGAGTCCTGCACAGGTCAGAAAACGCTGGCACCATCATAACAAAGAAGTAAAAGCGAATTTCTCTGAGCAGATTAGCTGGGAGGACACTGAATGTCAAACAAATAGATAGGAGCACAAATAGAACATCTAAATCAAAACGCTGTGAAGCCAGCACCTCTGCCAGAAGAAGACACAATGTGTACACAGAGCCTAAGAGGATAAAGGGAGGGTCCAGTTATTATTATTGTGAAGTCAGAGAGGTCAAAGGTGGTCTCACCTCTCTCATCATCAGGGTGCCGTCCTGTGAGCTGTTTCCATACGAGTCATCATTGTGACCTCCCAACATGCTGAAGGCCTCGTTCATAGCTTGACCCGCATTTGGCCTGAAAGACACAAGTCAAACATAAATGCATTTTTACTCAGTATAGTTATTTTGTTATCAGTGTTCCCACAAATACTTAAAAAGTCTTGAAAGGCAAGAAATGTATTGATCTACAAAATAAGACCGTGATTGTTATAACTCGTATTAGTTTCAAACGATTTAAAATGTGCTAAGACATGTTAAGTAGGATGGTATGAATTATTTGTTCTGACTTAATTACTAAATGCGACCAACAAGAGCAGTGATGGTGAACCATAAAATACAAAAAGGTTCCGGGTTATTAAACCAAAACAAAGAGCTGAACTTCCATAATTCTTGACCGGGAAAGGAAACTCCTAATCATTATTATAAAATGACTACAGATCCCCAGGTAAAACTAGTCTTGTGCTATAGGGCTTTTTAACGATCTATGATAGGACTCCATTGTACCATATGAAGTGGACACTATATCTTAGTGTTTGCAAGGGCAGTGAGGGATCATTTCCTGTAGGATATTTAACAGGATCACTCACATGATCCGCGGTATGTCGCTGACGGCCACGGTCCCATCACTCGCCCCCCCCCTCCCCCTCCTCATCCTCGCTGCTGTGGGAGTCTTCGCTGGAGGAGGAGTAGTCGGTCACTTTGACTGGGGGGCGGCTCGTCTCCTCGCCCTGACGGAGCTCCCGCAACTCTTTGGCCAGAAGCCGTCAGGTCCTGCAGGAAAAACACAAAATGTGAAAAAAATCTAAATATCCCACATGTATTTCTCCTGACTGCAGAAATGGTAGTAGAAGTATTAAGATATTTTATTTAAAAAAATATATTAATACTTCTTATAACGATGCGTTTTGAACATTTTCTTAGCTTAGACAACTTATGCATCTACCCAAACATTATTGACAGTTGTCATGGTTGCAGCTTTATTGCTGAATGAAAAATAAGTAGTTAAAAAAATATCAGAAACTTTAAATGTGCAAAAAATAAAAAAGAATACTTGAAAGAATCTAGCTGTGTTTACAAAAAACAACTGAATGTTGACCTAGAAACACTCAAAGTTGGTGCAAATATTTTTCAAGCCCTTGGATTAATATGCTTAATTCATTATACGACATGGCAATATCTATAATATATATATCAATACATGTTATGACTACTAAAAGCTAAATTCGAAAGATTAACCGAATAAAATAAAATGAATAAACATGATCTTATAGAATACAGTGAAGTAATAAGCTGCCTCTAAAAAATTGAAATAAAAGAACATGAAACAAACAAAAAAAAATATTTTAAATGTTAAAACAGCTCACAAAGTTTCCATTTGTATTAAGCTAAATGCAACTTCAAGCTAATTGTGTTTCTACTTCAATTTTGATAGACTAGCAGAAGAAATTAAAAGGTATATTTGTTGAAGCCACTAGTACTACTAACATCTCAGAATGAGGCAGCTTGGAAGAAACAAGCAGGTGAGAAAAAGGTGAACGGGAGTTTTACTATTTGTGGCACAAGCTTTTAGTGAGATTATTTTACATTTTAGCCACATGAGTGTGAGAGGTTATAGTGGGATGGGCGGTGAGCAGAAGGATAGCGCTAAAAAGCTTAGGCTTAAATGTCAAAGTTCAGGGCTTTTTAATTCAGCCTCAGCCGCAAACAAAAAGGTTGTAAAGTGGCAGGAAGTGTGGTGTAGGAATGGAGAGGGGGTTTATCTTACCAACTCCTCCTGATGAAAGAGAGAATGGGAGAAAGAGAAAGAGAAAAAGTGTGACTGGAAATGAAATATGAGAGCAGATATGTGTGAACAGGAAGGGGTGAGATGCAGACATGACTCCTACAGGAAATCATCAACGACATCTTCATTTCTGATACAAGAGTAAAACACAAAGAGCATCATTTAATCAGAGAGAGAAACATAGTGGTTTAGGCGTTCACACTGATAGGTGTCATATTCAACATGCCATATTGTGTGATTAACACATCTGTCTGTGTACGCGACTTGCATATATACAAGAGTGGCTTTAAAAATATTCATTGATTTAAGGTTATTCTTTTGTTGAACGATATTGTGGTATTTTAGATATAGTTGTCTCAGTAAAATGTATATATGAGCTGCTATTCTTTCATGCAATGCAGTCCATCTGAAAACAGCCCTAGGCAACAGCAACTGATGTTTTTTTGTATGCTTTGTAACGGGATGGAAAAACAAGATGTGAGAGTCATAAATAAAACTTCTGTAGGATTGCAGAGCTGTGCAAGAGTCCAAAGGGACAGGTGAGTGCAAGGGGAGGAGAGATAGATTTCACTGAGAGGTGTGGAAGGAGGGGTTAGGCAGAGACAGGGTGAAGGAGGAGAAATGTCACTAACCTCGTCTACAGCTCTCTTATAGCTCTGAGGAGCGAGGAAGGAAAGAATGAGAGGAAGAGAGTGAAAATGGACAGCAACGTGGTTAGTTCAGTGTGTGTGTTTGAGTGTGTTTGGAGTGTGTTTGAGTGTGTGTGTACTCACTGCAGGCCGGCTGGGTCGTGTCTCTCTGCCGTCCTCTTTGTTCTCATGGGAAGAAGAAAGATTTGAGCCCTCAGTCTTAACTGCTTGGTTACCTGAACAAAAAAATATATAAAAAATGTAGTACATTTTAGAAACCAAAACTTGTTTTATGGAGTGTGGACATTTTGGAAATACATTTGTTTTTGAGGAAGGTGAAGACTTAGACTTAGACCAAGTGAGAAAACATTTTTAAATGTAGGGAAATGTTTGAGAAATTTGAGGATATTTATCGATGAGTGAAGACTTTTTGGGAAACTGAGGATTTTTGAGTGGAAGTGGAAACCTTACAAAAAATGAAAATATATTTTTGTAAGTTGAGGAAGGAGAAGACAATCAAACCATTTTGTATTCATTCAATGAATGTCGTCAAAGAAGTAGGGAGTATAGAAGCACAAACGTGTGTGTGTGTGTGTGCACCTCTCTCGTTGGACCCCCCATGGGAGCTCGGGGTGCTGGAGCTGGAGGAGCTGCCACTGCTTGTCTTCTTCAGTGGCGTATCCAGAGAAATGTCCGTCCTCCGCAGGTCGGGGTTGCTGAGGCAACACAAATACAGTGCCGTCTCATTCATAAAAAAAAAAATCCGACATCATCATGTGTGTGAGTTTGTGTGCGTGTCCCTGATGCAAGTTCAAAACATGCCTTAAAGATTTGCTACACTGTTTCGTGTATAGCATGATGAAACAAGCTTCAAATGCATGTCATTGTGGGAGATAAACTAAATAAAATATTTTTTGTTTTACTTGTGTATTTTGGTGTGTGTGTATGTGTGTGTGTGGCCTAGCATTACTATACTTGTGGGGACCTAAATCTGTTTACACAGTGACGTGTGGGGACTCGCCTCCCTTATGGGGACAAAATGGAGGTCCCCATGAGGGGAATCATTCATTTTAGGGTGAAGACTTGGTTAGGTT